TCACGAGTTAATGTGAGACCAGTCCCCAGGGTTGAGGGTACTTTGGTTGGTTGGTTTTGTCTTTTGCAGCCAAATTCAACTGCACAGCTACACACAAGGGGTTAACAGAAGGATTTAACTGAGCTTGGGATTTTCCAGGTGTACTTGTTTGTTAGGGCTGCCATAAGAAAATAACACAGACTGGACAGCTTAAACAACAGAAATGTATTTTTTCACAGTTCTGAAGGTCAGAAATCCAAGATCAAGGTGCCACTAGGGTTGGTTTTTCCTGAGTTCCATCTCCTTGGCTTGTACATGGTTGTTTACTCACTGTGTCCTCACATGGCCTTTTCTCTGTGTGTCTTTTCCTGGTCTCATAAGGACACCAATCATATTGGATTAGGGTCCCATCCTTATTACGTCATCTAACCCAAATAACCTTCTTAGAGGCCCTATCTCCAAAAAAAGTCATGCTGGGAGTTAAAGCTTCACCATATAAATATTGGTGGTAGCAAGGGAGACTCGAGTCAGTCCTTGACACCAGATGAGTTTGAAGAAGCAAGAGGGAGCAGCTAAGTTGAAGCTCAGTGCAAAGGAGTGATTGAAATTATGGAGCCTGGGATTTAAGGTAAGTTAGCAAATGAAATACTCAAGGCGAGTGAGAGACAGTGGGTTTAATGCTTCTTCTTATCTCTGTGTTAAGGGTCAAATAATTGTTCACGAGAGAGAATTAGCTGGAAACACAAGAGTGGGTGATTGGAGAACAAAATGCTTGCTATTAACGTGTAGAGGGATGGCAGTTATTGGTAATAACAATGTTTGACCATGGGAGAGTCAGTGGCTGAGACAAGGTCAGGGACAACAACATTGGGAGGAAAGAGGTCAAAGAATCCAGATGTCGGGTTGTTACAAGGATCGTCATTGGAACCATGAAAATTATGAGAGTAGTAGTGTTGAAAAGAATGGAAGTGGACCAGGACCTCAAAAATCTTCAAGAAATGCAGGGAAGTGGCCTGGGACAGGGGGCGACTGGCAGCTGAGCTGGGGTGCTGATGGCCTGGTCATGGTCATGAGAAGCGGGGGGACACCTACCTGATTTCCAGGTCTACAGATTAATTGGGGGAAGGAGAGAAAATAGAGGCCCCTGGACAGGGATTTGAGGAAGTAGTGTCCTAGAAACATCCAGGTTGCAGTAAGAGGAGAAAGTGGATGGAAATGTCCAGATAAAAAGTTAGATGTGGTGGGGTTCTGCTGTGAACTCAGGGCACAGGGGAATGGTTTTAGAAATTAGGGACAGGTGGGCCGGGTGCAATGGCTCATGTCTGTAATCCCAGCACTTTGGAAGGCCGAGGCAGGTGGATCACAAGGTCAGGAATTCAATACCAACCCGGTCAAGATGTTGAAACCCTGTCTCTACTAAAAATACAAAAAAAGTAGCCAGGTGTGGTGGCAGGCGCCTGTATTCCCAGCTACTCAGGAGGCTGAGGCAGAGAATTGCTTGAACCCAAGAGGTAGAGGTTGCAGCGAGATGAGATCGCGCCACTGCACTCCAGCCTGGGCAATAGAGTGAGACTCCATCTTGGAAAAAAAAAAAAGAAAATTAGGGATGGATGAGGTGTCGGGTCAGAAATGGCATATAAGGACCAAATGTGAGAATAAGAGTTCAAGTAACCAGGGGAATCTGGGTTTCTTGAGGTGATTGATCCGAACAGGGATAAAAGTCACGATCGAAATTAGCACTGATGATTCCAAGGAAGACACTGGAGGTGAAGCTGGGAGGGTGGGGAGGAGGGTGCTGGGAGACTGAAGTTAGTAGAAGAGGGAGCTTTGACATGAGCAATTAGAGTTTTGGGGTGGCTTTTAAACTCCTGCCGACAGGTGTAGAGGGCGGGTGAGAGGCAGTCCTATGTGTTGCAAATTCTTTTTTTCTCAGATTGACTTTATTAAAACATATTTATATTATAGGCCGGGCGTGGTGGCTCACGCCTGTAATCCCAGCACTTTGGGAAGCCGAGATGGGTGGATCACAAGGTCAGGAGATCAAGACCATCCTGGTTAACACGGTGGAACCTCATTTCTACTAAAAATACAAAAAATTAGCCGGGCGTGGTTATGGGCGCCTGTAGTCCCAGCTGCTCAGGAGGCTGAGGCAGGAGAATTGCTTGAACTCGGGAGGTGGAGGTTGCAGTGAACTGAGATTGTGCCACTGCACTCCAGCCTGGATGACAGAGCGAGACTCGTCTCAAAAAAAAAAAAAAAAAAAAAACCCAAACAACAAAAACATATTTATATTATATATTAATACATATTTACAAGATTTTACTTTTTTTTTTTTTTAATTTTGAGACAGGGTCTTGCTTTGTCACCCAGACTGGAGTGCAGTGGCAGTGGCATGAACACGGCTCACTGCAGCTTCAAACTCCCGGGCTCTCGCGATCCTCCCAACTCTTAGCTTCCTGAGTAGCTGGGAATACAGACGTGCACCACCACACCTGACTAATATTTTGGATTTTTTATAGGACAGGGTTTCACTATGTTTCCCAGGCTGGTCTCAAACTCCTGGACTCAAGTGATCTGGCCACCTTGGTCTCCTAAAGTGCTGGGATTAAAGGCATGAGCCACCATGCCTGGCCACCATTTTTACTTTTTATAATGTCAGCCTTATCAATCTTTTCTTCTTTATGGCTTTTAGTATATTGTATGCTTAGGAATTTCTTCCCTAATCCAAAATTATAATTACTTTAAAAAAAATTTTTAGATGATTTGTTTTAGTATTTTGATTTTCCATCTGGAGTCTATTTTGGATAAATGAGTATGCAGGAATCTAAATCTTTTATTTTTTTTCTACATGGCCAGCTTAATGCTCCAACACCATGTTTTGAAATACCCCAAGTTGCCCTTTGAATTTTTATTTATCATGAATTCACGTCTTTCCCTCTTTATTACTAACCAGTCTTGTACTAAGATTTTCAGTTCATAGCCTTATTTAAACTTTCTGTGCTCTAGGCCTTCTGTCTCTCTGCTTGTAATAAAAATCTGAAGGCAAATGTCTTTTACCTTTAAAATCCAGATGTATCCTTGAACCTTAGGCATTTAGGAGGGTTTGGTTGTATCTGGTCCTGGGGCATTCGTGGTAATCCTGCCATTTGTGCTTTGGGAGCAAAGATGGTAACATAGCCCCTGAAGGGAAACCCTCTCAGTCAGTATTCTCTTTCCTAATGACTTGATTTTGATCAATATACCTTCTCCAGAAGAATGTTGGAATGCAGAGCCATGGGAAAATGGGAATATGATATTCATTAGTCCATTTACTGAATAGCAACTCCAATAGATGTTTATACTGCAAAATCCTATTGTAGGTATTTTTAGATTCAACCAGGAAGCCATCCAGATGAAGTAACATTGCACTGCTGCCAAGCCCACTAATAACCCTGATTTTTTTATTTTTTTTTTGAGACGGAGTCTTGCTCTGTCAACCAGGCTGGAGTGCAATGGCGCGATCTTGGCTCACCGCAACCTCTGCCTCCCAGGTTGAAGCAATTCTCCTGCCTCAGCCTCCTGAGTAGCTGGGATTACAGGTGCCCACCACTATACCTGGCTAATTTTTGTATTTTTAGTGGAGACAGGGTTTCACCATGTTAGTCAGGCTGGTCTTGAACTCCTGACCTCAGGTGATCCGCCTACGTCAGCCTCCCAAAGTGCTGGGATTACAGGTGTGAGCCACCGTGCCCGGCCCCCTGATTTTTTTGTTTGTGTCGTATGTTTAGAGTTCCTCCACTTCTCAAGTGCTTACATACCTCCTTAAACTTATATGACTTTTGATTCTGAAAAAGAGGATGGAACAGCAAGCAGCATTGCCCTAGAGAAAGGAGTAACAGGCCTGCCTCACTGACACTTGCCATCCACCCTGTCAGGCAGGAGCTGTGCTCTGCATTCCCTTCCCACACTCTTGTGGACTGCTCATGTTCTGCAGTCTCACTGTGGTCTTCCTGAGTCCAGCAGGAAGACGCTTCTGATGCATGGCCCAGAGGCCTTTCCGATTCTCATCCCAACATGCACATGAGAATGTGCTTCGAAAGTTCTCATGGCTCCCCACTGGTTGCAGAATGAAGCCCAGGTCCTGGAACCTGGCAGGCTAGATTCTTCCCACTCTGACACTAACCTGCGTTCTAGCTGGATCTCCTACTATTCTCCATGGACCCTCCCACTGATTTCTGCCTGACAGCCTGGCCACACGTTGTCACATCTCAAGCCTTGTTTACTGAGTTCCCCATTCCTGTTATACAATCCCTTGCAACCCCTGAATTGCAAAAGGTTGCAATGCAGGAATGCCCCCATCCACACCCCAAACCCCATCCACATCAGGAAACATGACGGATCCCGTAAGGCTCATCCAAAGAGGGCCTTCTCTACTCCCTCAGGCGGAATCCGTCTCTTCCTCATGAGTACTCAGTTTATATCATGATTAAAACAGAGCTTGCCATTTCTTTGAGAGTTGACTAAGACACTAGCTTTACTGTTATAATGGGGCTGCTTCAGTCGCAGAAACGTAGCTAAACCTTTTGTCTCCAGCATAGTTGCTTTGTGGTGAGCATCTTCCATGTATTCTCCCATTTTATCTTTCAAACAGTCCTTGGAGCCAGGCATTTTTACAGTCTTCATTTTCAAATGAGAACATTGAGACTTAAAAAGATTAAGTGGGAGGCCGAGGTGGGCGGATCACCTGAGGTCAGGAGTTCAAGACCAGCCTGACCAACATGGAGAAACCCCATCTCTGCTAAAAATACAAAATTAGCCGGGCATGGTGGCGCATGCCTGTAATCCCAGCTACTCGGTAGGCTGAGGCAGGAGAATCACTTGAACCCGAGAGGCCGAGGTTGCGGTGAGCTGAGATTGCACCATTGCACTCCAGCCTAGGCAACAAGAGTAAAACTCCGTCTCAGAAAAAAACAAAATAAAAAATAACGTAAGTAACTAATTTGCACACAAACTTATAGTCAATCATATAGTATATTCGGTACCTGGGACTCAATTCCTTTGTTTGACTTCGAAGCCTGTGGATGAGTAAAAGAACCAGTCCATGTGCTGGATGCAACTTGGTGACTTCTCCCAAAGAGAAATTTCCTTGTGCAGAAGTCCCACGCGGTGTTGAGAGCTGCTTACAGTCTGTGTGACCTTGGGCAAGTTACCGAGTATCTCTGAGTCTTTGGGTGTACATCTGTGAAATTAAGATAATGAGCCGCTTAACTCACTCGCAGGGCTTTGGAGAGGATTAAATGAAATAATGTATGCAAAATACAAAAAGGCTGGCAGAAGAAATCAGTAACAGACACCTTCTGTTCCCTTTTCCCTCACTGCCTATTCCACAAAAACCACAAACTCTCCTACAAGGCCCGTCCGGTTGCCCTGACCAGAGAGGAAACCGTGCAGAGGCTGTGGAGATAAATAACCAATGGAATGAAGGGTTTGGGCAGAATTAACCGTAGCTCATGCTGCTTCCATGCGGATCCCAAACGAATAATGATCTGAAATATACCATACCATTGTTTTTAACTTCCATACTGATTTCGGGGGAAGAAATGGCCTCCTAGAAGCCTATAAAAAGGGAGACATAACTAGAAATGATCTCTTCCTTGTCCTAAAGGGACTATCTCTTCTTGCCACAACATCCCAGAGTTCGGTCACTGGCTTTCAAAATCAAAAGAACAACGCCTTAAAGATTTTTTTTTTTGATTGACATCACTCATACTCTTATCCAATAACTTTGATGGTCTCTGTTTTGGTGATACAATTGCAGACCCCATGACTGCTGAGAAGGTGGGTAAGGAAAACCATCATGACACTTTTGGGGGTGTGGCTTTACAGAACTTTGGGGTATCTTTATTTGACTCATCTTTCAGGTATCTAGTATATGTTTGGCATCTCCTACCTGTGAAGGGTTACAGGGTGAAGTTGACAGTTGGTCTCTGGACGTTTCCAAACTCTTCTAGTCCAGTGGCAGAGGCAAGGAGGCAAACCACAGCAATGAATGCAGAGTGGCTGGTGATTTGAGATAGGTCAACACAGTGTCACAGGAGTGCCAGAAGAAATGCCCAGCTCATCTGGAAGTCAACCGGGAGGGTGGGGTGGTCAAGAGCTGCCCAGAGAAGGTATCCCAGGGTCTATGTCTCAGAAGAAGAGGAGGAGTTAGCCAGCATAAGGAGGAGGAAATAATCTTATCCCAAGAGTCAAACCTGCTATTAGAAATGGAAACAAACCTTTCCCAAGCACTTAATCCTGTTATGAGTTTCACAGACAGCATTTAATTTAATCTTCACACTAATCTTGTGGGGCAGGTATTTTAGAAACACAGAAATATGGCGATGTTGAACAACATTTCTAATGTTCTACTGCTGGTCCATGGAGAGGTTGAGATTTGAATTCAAGAGAGACTAAAATGTTTGGTCCTTCTGTTGCACCAAACTGCTTTAGTTCCCAGTAATATCTGCAGTCACCGCAGGACAATTGTATTTATGACACTAACATCATAATATCTTAAAATTGGATTGAGGTGCAATTCATATATGTTTATTTTAAAAGAACAATAATGTTTATTTTAAAAGAACAAGAAGAACCTTGGGATAAGATTATTTCCTCCTCCTTATGCTGGCTAACTCCTCCTCTCTTCTTCTGACATAGACCTGGATACTTCCTGCAGCTCTGACCCCCCCCCCCGGTACTCAGATGAGCTGGATTTCTCATCTGTGACATGTGTTACTATTCATCACACCTCTGCATCTGGCGTTAATGAGAGTATGATTATTCTAGCGAAAAGCATGTAAGGACTAAGTCTTTAAAAAAACGCAAAGCAGGACGATGCATGGTGGCTCACGTCTGTAATCCCAGCACTTTGGGAGGCTGGGGTGGGCAGATTGCTTGAACTCAAGAGTTTGAGACCAGCTGGGGCAACAAAGCAAGACTCTGTTTCCATAAAATATTTAAAAATAAGCCAGGTGTGGTGGCATGTGCCTGTAGTCCCAGCTACTTGGGAGACTGAGGAGGGAGGATCACTTGAGCACAGGAGTTTGAAGCTGCAGTGAGCTATGATCATGTCATTGCACTCCAGCCTGGGCAACAAAGGGAAACCCTATCTCAAAAAAAAAAAAAAAAAAAAATTCAAAGCATATGCCATTTTTCAGAATTGAGTGTGTTATTCCAATTCTGAACCTACTGTTGTGAATCTAAATCAAATTAAACATATTAGTGTGTATGTGTACTTAAAATTTCAATGAATTATGAAAAATTGGATTAAGATTCATGAGAATCTCTTTTTGCTTTTTTCTATCATGTCACTTGAATCTCATGACACCCCTGTGACCATCCCTGCTCCCTCTTCACAAGGTGGGTAGCGTTTTCCCTGATAGATGAAGAAATCATGAGGTTAGTACCTTACTCGAAATCTTAGCAGCAAAGATATCATCAGAGCACAGGACTTTCAGAAGCAAAAGGAAATAAAACCCTTATATTTATGTGCTAGGCACTGTAGATGGAATTTTTATGATAGATATTTAATTCTGATAATAACCTTAGGAAGTAGGTGTTTCCCCCTCTTTTAGAAATGAGAAAACTGCAATTAACATACACGTATATTTTCCTTTATTACAGAATTATTTCTATTCCTTTGGGTATATACCAAGTAATGGGATTGCTGGGTCAAATGGTATTTCCAGTTCTAAATCTTTGAGGAATCACCACGCTGTCTTCCACAATTTCCCAATAGCAAAGACATGGAATCAACCCAAATGCCCATCAGTGACAGTCTGGATAATGAGAACGTGGTACCTATACACCATGGAATACTATGCAGCCATAAAAATGAACAAGATTGTGCCCTTCTGAGGGACATGGATGGAGTTGCAAGCCATTATCCTCAGCAAACTAACACAGGAACAGAAAACCAAACACCGCATGTTCTCACTTACAAGTGGGAGCTGAAAAATGAGAACACATGGTCATAGGGAAGGGAACAACACTCACTGGGGCCTGTTGGGGGAGGGTGGGAGTGGGGAGAGCATTAGGGAAAAGAGCTAATGTATGCTGGGCTTAATACCTAGGTGATAGGTGGATAGGTGCAGCAAACCATCATGGCACACGTTTACCTATGCAACGAACCTGCACATTCTGTACATGTGCCCCAGAACTTAAAAAAAAACAAAATAATTAAAAAATAAAAACTAAAAAAATGAAATGAGAAAAGTGAGGCTCAGAGATGGAATAAGACCAAGTTAAAGAGTTATAACATGGCTGGGCATGGTGGCTCACGCCTGTAATCCCAGCACTTCGGGAGGCTGAGGCAGGTGGATCACGAGATCAGGAGATGGAGGCCATCCTGGCTAACACAGTGAAATTCCATCTCTACTAAAAATAAAAAAAAATTAGCCGGGTGTGGTGGCGGGCACCTGTAGTCCCAGCTTCTCGGGAGACTGAGGCAGGAGAATGGCCTGAACCCGGGAGGCAGAGCTTGCAGTGAGCTGAGATCCGGCCACTGCACTCCAGCCTGGGCGACGAGTGAGACTCCGTCTCAAAACAGAAACAAAAACAAAAAAGTTACAACGTGACTGAGCTGGGATTTGAACCTGGTTTTCCAAAGCTGCATATCTGTTCTTCTGCATCTTTCTCCAAGCTGTGTGCATTTTTGCATTTTTTTTTCACAGCTGTATTCCAAATTGAGCACAGTGCCTGTCACGTTGAGGGCACTCAGTAATTTTGTGAAATGACTAAGTGAAACATAGAACGTGTACATCAGCTGGGTGCGGTGGCTCACGCCTGTAATCCCAGCACTTTGGGAGGCCGAGGCGGGCGGATCACAAGGTCAGGAGATCGAGACCATCCTGGCTAACACGGTGAAACCCCGTCTCTACTAAAAATTACAAAAATTTAGCCGGGCGTGGTGGAGGGCACCTGTAGTCCCAGCTACTCGGGAGGCTGAGGCAGGAGAATGGCATGAACCCGGGAGGCGGAGCTTGCATTGAGCCAAGATCAGGCCACTGCCCTCCAGCCTGGGTGACAGAGCAAGACTCCGTCTCAAAAAAAAAAGATTGTGTACATCAGTGACTAACAAGGCAGGGTGGCAGAAGGAAGGGTATTTGATACATTCTAAGTCTCATATCAAAGAAATGCTTATCACGTTGTCCAGGAAATTCTGTGGAGTTTTGTGTTGAAGAGATTTTCCCCTTTCTGCTTTCCTTTCTATTTAGTGAAGGACTATTGTTCCAACAATAGAGGTAGAAATCCAGGCCACAGGGGTGAAATGCTACCCAATAAAAGCTTATTTGGCCAAAGGAAGTAGGAGAAATGTTACGGAGAATCTTTCTGAGTCTTTTTCTCTGGGTCCATAAGCACAACATTGTACAGCGTGCTTCTCTGGGCCCCCAGCCGCATTATTTATGGAATCACTGCATCCTGTCCTTACTCTAAAGTCCTTACCCAAAACGCCTTTGCCTTTTGTTTGACCTTGAAAGCAATGCAGGGCCTCTCCAATGAATGTCTTAGGCCACAGCCCAAATGCAAAATACCTTTCCTTTTATATTTATTAAGGATGCCATTTGTCATAGATGACCATCCGCTAATGCATACTATTGGCTTTAATTGGATTGGATTCTTGGTTATGCCACAAATATTGATTAAATAGCTTTTATGAACAAGGGAGGACATTATTAATTTTCCTTTAGATGGCAGAGAAAACCTGTTGTCATATGAAGTTCCCCTAACTGAGTTCGAGTCCTGCCTCTGCCATCCATGACTGTAGGATCTGGGCTACTGAGCATCTCACTTTGAACATCTGTAAAGTTCAGATATTCACTGGATCTTGGCCTGTGGCCTAACTGTGCGTTAGGGGATATTTGGGGATCTGTGGGAGTGTATGGGACCATTACAAGGACTGCAGGTTGCTACTGGCATTTAGTGCCCGGGACCAGGGATGATAATGCCGTGGATTATGGGGCCCAGTTCCCCACAACAAGAACATATTCTGACCAAGATTGTAACTGTGTCTCCACTGAGAAACACTGATTGAAATCATCTGCAGCTTCAGTGTTCCTTAATTTCAGAACAGCGACTGAGAGGCAAATTATAGTTCTGTTAACTTTGACAAAGTCAACAAGCAGTGATGTTAAATATAGGCAAGCCGCTGGCAAGATGCCTTCCAAGGAGCAAGAACAAAAGAAATGGGAGTATTAAATACTGGTAGTCTTTGCAATGCATGCTGGCAAAGAAGTTGCTAAAATATCATTCATTTTGTAGCCCATTTTCTATTAATTATCTTAGATACTTTGTAAAGCAATAGCTTGAATGCCACATGGAATATTAATTCTGCTAATGAATTCAGTGACTGTTTTCCCCAGCTTGTCACTCGAAGCTTATCTTCATACTGCTTTAGTTCACATGAAAGAGCCATAGACTTGGTAAGCTTGCCTTCATACCACTGAATTTCTTTTATTACAGAAGAGCTATATGCTCCAGACTTACTGCTGCCTAATAATTTTATTTTGCCATTAAAGCTAATTGTCAATAAGGGTAATGAAAATGACTCCCAGACATTTCAGTAATTTGCAACATCATGAGCCTGGTGATAGCATGATGCTGGCTGGCGGTACCATCCCGGGCCAGCTCTGTTGCTGTTCACGAGGCATCCCCTCTGGAACAGGTCCATTCGTAGCCCGCTGTGCCTGGTGGGATTATAGGGTTCCAAAGCTGTTCTCAGACAATACAATCTATTTTTAAAACATTGACATATGCAAAAATGTTGTTATTGACCAAATCAACGTTTCAACATCTTTCTCCCATGTCACTCAGTTGGAGCATATTTGAACCAACCTGCTCTTCTCACGTTTGGGAGTGGGGCTAGGAGTGGAATTTCGGGGGTTTTGTTTTCCCCAGTTTTTAGGACTCCCTGGCCTCATTTTCTTATTTTCTGTGGACTCAGATATCCATTAGCCTCAACCGTGTTAGACTTGAGCCGTGTGTGGAGGCTCTCTTACCACAATCAAAGCTGGATTTTGTTTTGAGCAGCCATGAGTGCAGCTGCAGGTGATGATGGATGGTGACTGGTCATGATCAGTTACGACAAGCTGTTCCCTCATTTTCCAGCCTCTCTTGCAGAGAAAATTTGCCGTGTTAACTAGCTCTGGCCAATGAGATCTTGAAATCTAAAGGTAATTCTTCTGGAGGGATTTCTGAGAAAGCTTCTCTTTATCTGAAACACAAACAAACAAAAGGAGGGAACAGATGAGGCTTTGCCTTTCCCCTTCAGTGTGAACACAATGCCTGGAGATGCAGCAGCCATTTTGTGACTAGTAGGTGGAGCAGAATAATATAAATAACCTCATTCCTTGATGGCATGTTTCAGCACCTGTCTTGACTACCTGTCCAACTCAGGACTCCTTGGAATGTGAAAAAAATCAACCCCTATTTGTTTGCATCATTATAGTAAAATATTCTTTTATTCACAAATATAAACCTTATTGATAATACTATGTTTTGTGCTCAGCTGAAGATACAGTGGTGAGGATCTTGGAAATTTGGGGATGAGAATGTTG